AAYGGGYAKRRRTTWAAAAAAGGGTAACTTTCTGGTCTTTATAAATCCGTCTTTTTTATCTACCTGATAATGACTCAAAAAATKTACAGAAACATCTGATTCTTTGCAGTCTGTTGTTAGTCGTAATAACTCATTCAGGCATTCCCTTTTGACATCACTTCCTGTTTCTGCTCATGCGGATATGTCAACAACTGTATAGTGTCGGGAATGTTTGTTTGCAATTCATCATTAATGTTATCGTTCCAAATATGCACTCAAATATATCACTTAAATTTTATGTCACAGGCACTCTCAAATTGACTGCCTACAGATCAAAAACTACCAGCAAGTAAAAACAGTTGGTTAAACACATAATAATGACAGCCTGAATTACATAAATCATTTAACTAAACTTCATAAAGCAGCCAAAGTCCAAAGAAAACCTTTTAAAGAAATTCTGGAACAAGTCCACTAAATAATTTAGTAAATCTTTAATATTTTAGTCAAAACTTTTGTACATTACTGTGTTTGTGGATTATATTTACTACCTATATTACTTTTAGATTGCATGTAAGTGTTATGCTGCTCACAACCCGAGTCACGTGAGTTTGAGCCATCATGGCGGCTCTGTTTCACTTTTAAAAATATTAAATATGAAATTGTTACCTTTGAATACTCCTGCGCCAGCTTGCTGTATTTGGTCTGCAGGTCTGTAACGTTAGCCATTTTCGTAGAAAAAAAAAACCCGGTTGTCGACTGCTGATGCTGTAAAAATTAGCCGAGACAGTGATTAGTTCACCGCAGATGATTCGTCCGGTTTTATCAACTAGCCACAGGCTGCACACAGGTGGACATTGTGACCAAAAAAAAAAAAAAGGGCACGGTCAGGAGTCCCGAATAGCTGTCAGGACGGTCATCGTTTGATTTACGCTACCAGCTCATTTCTACTCCGACTTCAATGTTTTGCTACCAGTTAGCAGCTAAGCTAGCTGATGTAGCAACACAAATCCAGACACCGAGCAAGAGCTACGGCTCGGTTCAGTTTAAACAGAGCCGCGAAACCGGCAGCGTGCGTTAATTATTTGTCTTTAATATTCAGGGTCGGCGCTGCTAGCCGCCCCGATCTCGCTCGTTTAACGCAAGAGCCTCAACTCCCAGCTCACCCAGCAAACCCTCAAATGAGAACCGACCAGAGACAACAAAACAAAGGTCAAAGTTTAGGAAACAGGTGCGGTTGTTGCCACAGCGCCCCCTGCTGTTTGGAGGACATCAGTGGGCAGAAGAATAGAAATGAATGTCCCTGAAC